ATAATAATAATAATAAATAGCATTTGTATAGCGCATATCCCCGCTCAACAGCAGGCTCTATGCGCTTTACACTATATTAAATGCTGAAAAAGTATGCTTCTCGCCAGGAACTAAGCTCCCGCTGGAAAACGTGAGAGGCAGTCCAGTCTCCCATTGTTCTCCTGCGATCCCCTTTTTCCGGTGGGCGGTCCCCTCTGGAGCCGTTTATAATAATATATTTTTGGTCTTCCACGCCACTTTCACGTATGCGGAATCCTGCCTGTAGTTTTGGGGAAAAAAAGTCCTTTTCAGGCTATCTAGGACTAGAAGCTCTTCCCCCTACCTTTTATCCAGCCGTGGCGACATTTCTTTCCAGCTTTTCACAGATATCTCTATTCCCATCAAACTGATCGTGAGATTTTTAATCTAATGTCCACTACCTTCTGAAGAGTTTCATAAACATTTCTCTGTACTTTGAGCTCATGTTCAGATATACAAAAATGTTAACACTTGAGTTGATCGATTCCATTGTGAACACAAGTGAGCCGGCGGCAATACACAAGTTTTCAAATTTTCCTCCGGCTTGGAATTCTGGTTCCAGAGACATAGCAAGAAAAGTCACCGCCCCTGGCATGAAACAAACTATAAAGATAGTAGAGATGAAGATGACTGTTTTCACAACCTTTTTTTCCTTGACCCCAAATTCCTCTTTTCCACCAACTCCTTTGCTGGCCGTGGCTTGACGCCATTTTGTCTTACTGTTCAATTTAGTAACGAGAACGATGGTGCAACAGATGACAGTGATGAAGGTAAACGTGTTAATTATTACGCCCTGGATCATAAACACAACGGAATCCACAATGTCTCTTTCTTCAGCAACAGTTATTGACAGTACTGAGGTGTTTGTGGCTGGATCCTGTAACCAGGATAGTCTGTTCGAGTAGTAGAAAGGGGAAAAGACACAAATCATGAGGATAAAGATAGAGACAATTGTGATCTTTGTTCTTCGTGGAGTCAGAATCCTCTTGGTCTTCAGAGGTAAGGCGATACACAGGCATCTTTCGAACGCGATGAAAGCGGTAATGCAGCCAGTGATCCTGTGGAAAGATAGGACAGGCCAAAGGTTTAGTTAATCTGTCATTTCAACAGAAAACTTAATGACAGGTGAATGTGTTTTGAAGTATTTTTTTTCTGATGAAGGGGAAAAATATGCTAGATTTGGCAGTTTGTGTGTGTGGGGGGGGGGGATGGATGTGAGGTGTCCTATAACTCGATAGGAAAAACTGGCAGATACAAACATTTTAAACGAATGGCTGAATTGTTGGGCCGGTTATTTTGAACTTCCTTTACACCAGAGTTTTGTAGGCCTAATGATAATGGATATTTCAAAAGAATAACGTATCAACAACAAAAGCCACTCACTAATCATTGGCCGAAGATTACATCTCCTTTCGATGTCTAAGGACGGGTAAAGAAAGTACATGTGAAGAAAGCCATCCACGAGGTCGTTGTTTACACTCAAGATGATAGTTCTGGCTCATTAATACATTTACAGAGAAACACAAAAATGAGAACTAGTAAAATGTGACCTTTCAGAAAATTTAAAATACAGCAGAAAGATGTTAATATCCTACCTGACGAAGCAAGTGCGTGGCCAGCCACCAGTCATGGATATGAACTTGAAATGCACAACAGGCAGGCCAAAGTTGTCAATAAGCGGGTTGTAATTAAGACTGCACCACAACATGAGCAGTAATGAGCACAGGTCGGATACAGCAAGGCCTGAAACCAGAGAAAATTATATTTAAGAAGTTCTATTGGTTTTATTTGTTTTGGTTATTTTCTTTTTCTTTAGTTCAAGTTTTGTTGGGGTTTTTCTTTCAATTTTCTTGATTTTTATACCATGGCAGAAAAGGAATGTGTCAGTTAGACCTGAAAACATTAACCATCATTTTAACAATCATTTCAAAATCGATCATCACCATACAAGTAGTAAATTCAAATGTGATGTTTTGAAAGCGGAACACCTTGATCAGGTGTTAGGTTTAGAAGGACAAAGGAAGCAAGAAAACAGAGACATTCGCGGCGGGCTTAGCTTAGACTGTGTGTGTACACTTGGTGATCTGTTGGTGATCTCTTGCGTTCTGTATTCACTTGTGCTCTGTGTGTAGATTTCAGATAAACAGTGAGGCAAACACCGTTGTATTGTATCAGTGAGATGAGGTAGTTTTACATTGGAATCTAATGTGTGTTCTTCAATGCAGCAATGCATTGTGTAGAATGCTTATTGGAAATTCGCTTTCGTTTTTTATTACATGAAACTAAGCTCACTGCCTAAGAAACTGGGACCACATCAAACAGCAAATTGTTGGCATCCTGTTGTGGGTGGAAAGCAAACGAGATTTTTAAATTACGAATGGTTAATCCTAAAGGATGCATCGTTCAACCAAAAAGTCATCGGCAAAGTTACTCAACATTAAAACAGAAGGACACAAATCATGTACTTGTGTGAAGACGAATA